ATGCCAGTAATTTGATCTCTTGTGAAAAACCTTTCCAAGTCTAGGAGCTTCCAGCTGTTCACTCATTTGGCTCTTATTTAAAAGCAAATATGAAATTATACTTTAACATTGCCAAAATATTTCCCACTATCAGTAATGTACAGCCAATGATGCTGAGAAAACATAAGGTGATGTTTGAAATATATAATTCATAATATGTTCTTTCTACTTTTTGGTGTCTATACTGATATTTCACATAAGAAGAAAAAGCACAAGAGTAAGGAAAATGCAAGAATTGTAGTTTTCATATGGAGTTTAATTTTTGAAACCTTTAAAAATGCATTATATTTAGCAGATTCCCAGAGGAAGACTACTAAACCCTAATGAATAAATATAAATTATAGTTCTTGGAGGTTTTAAAATATAGTAAATTTAGAAAGAAATAAACTAACAAAATATGCATGAGAGAATGATAAGATTAATCTAAATAACATATAACAAAGACATCTCACTTAGAGAAAAATAAGGTCTCAGGAATGTCATGAACTCAAAGCACTTTAAAGACAATCTGGATATCAGTGTATGACTTAACTTAAGCCTCAAAATTTAGTGAAGGTTATATACATAATAAAGCTCATTTAGTGAGAAACACTGTTTTTATTCAAACTGAGAAGCATGTTTGTTTAAATTTCTTTATGTAAGTAAATACAATTTTCATACCTTAAATTTAAGTGTCAAGGAAGTGATCATTTCAAAAGTTGTGCAAAGCACCCTAATAAATGAGAAAGGGTTTGTTTAACCTGAATTGCACCACAGAAACTTGACTGGAGTGAGCCTTAGCAAAGCTTCCACATGGTACACTTAATGTGGAGAAATGATAGTCTTAGGATACTTCTATGATCAGCCTATAGTGTATCTGCTGTAACTCTGCTGAGAAGGAGCTAAGAATATTGGTATGAGAAACAAGGTCAGAATAGCTGTTAATGAGTTACTTGTTATTCTCCATGCTCACTCCATGCCACCAACAAGGAACTCACCACTATTGCTCAAATACGCCAATTGTACTCTAACCTCATGGAATCAATTTGGCTGTTCCCTCTCCTGGAATGTTTCTCCCCCATATATCTGTTGGTTACATTTTACTCCTTTAAGACTTAGCTCATAGCTTACCTTCGCAGCACTGCAAACTGCCTCACTAACCATTCCACCAGGCTTTCTGGTCACTTTATCAGATTCTTTTTGTTTTATGTTTATACCATGTGTTTCTTGTTACATAATTGCACTATTTTAACAAATAATTTTACCCATTAGGTCTATTTTTTACTGCCTGTTTTTGAAACAAGCCCAACTTTCCCATATAATTGATGTTTACGGTTTCTGAGTAAACAAAGAGATTCATCCTCCCAGTCTTAAAACTTGTGATAGTTACAATTGTCTTATTTGAGTTTGCTTCTCAGGAAACCAACCATCAGACTACTGAGATAGTATCAAGGAGCTGAAGCACTGGATCACTGCATCTGGACCATGAGATAGCAGACTGATCACCTGTCATGATTGCCCAGCAAACCACCTACTTCTTGTTGATCAACTTCTCTTACTTACACCTCCCTAATTGCTGTTTTCTCACATATGGTTACATGTTTTCCCTGCTATATAAACTACTAATGTTAGTTGGTCAGGGAGATGAATTTGAGACTTAACTCCCATCTTCTTGGCTGTAACACCTTAATAAAACCTTTTTCCCTAATGGTATTTATTGTCTCAGTAATTGGTTTTCTGTGCCACAAGTGGCAAGACCTAGACCAAAATCCCTAGCATTCTGGTGACGTTTCTACCCTCTAGAATATATGCAGCCAGAAGTTAAGTAACTTAGTCTTGTTAGCTGAGGTATACTACATAAACAATGCCTGATGCATAACAGGCACTTGATTGGTAACTGTCCAGTGAATGACTAATGAATATACCTTACACAATGAACTCTAAACAACACAGCGACCATCAGTAGCACAATTGTCTAAGACAATATGCAGATGTAATTACAAGTGGGCTCTTTATTTACCTTAGTTATTATTTTTACAATAACTGTTGAAAAGGATATTCAGAAACAATTTAGGTGTACCCCAATTCTAGCCCAATTTCTCTCCTTTCTTAGTTTGTTACAGTGGTGTTACTTTTGCACATTTTTTGTATTCCTAAATCTGGTTATTCCATTTATTCTTATCTCACATATTTACTTCAAATGTTTTCTATCTCTCATGTCAAAAATTGATTAAAATACCATTGAATGTAGATATCTTCAGTGGAGTTTTCATTAGCTGTTTATTTACATGTATTTTTAAATCTGCTGTCACATGTGTAAGTGCTAGAATAAAAAAAAAATTGCCAAAAATAAGGCAGAAAAAATAAGATATATACTCACCTCCAAAAAAAAATTATAGAGATGTGGCCTGGATTGTTTCATTTCTGAGGCTTTGGGTAGGACAAAAATAGTATATGTTGATCAATAGCCTGGTAAATTTCCTTCTTCGAATTTTATCTTGGATATTTTCAGTCTGCTTATAACACTTATATATTCCTTACAGTGATTTTTCTTGAACCCCTTCAAGAATAGAGGTTGCATGGAAAACTGCCACCCTTTTTGGAGAGATTAGGTACTCACAAAAATGGAACAGCCAAGATCTGCTTACCTGGAGTCAACACTGCTGTTTCTGATCATTACTCGCATTGAAGTTGGCTGATAAACTCTTCCCAGAATAATAAATACTACTACATAATTTTGTCAATTTAAAACATTCATCAATTCACTCAGCCACAAAAGGAGCAGGAGAAACTAACATCAATTTTATTATAGTTTACATTTTCTAAATAGTCTCCTGATCAGCAACATTTTAGCAATGGTGAAGATCATTATGTCATAAATTAACATCCTGTCATCTGACCTCATCTGTCTTTGGTCAGCAATAAGGGAATGGATGTATGAAAATGCAGCCCCTGGTAGCCAGGAAATGACCTATTATTGCTAGGAGCTGACCTGCCATTCATAGCTAGGTGCTTAAAGCTCGCCTCTGTGTTCCATGGGAAAGAAACATTTCTCAAAATACAAATAACACGTGAGACCACTCTTCGATCATGATGAATGAAGACAAAAACAAGGCCACTTCATAATTATGCCCAAACTCATATAAAAATAAACCACAAAAATGATCAAATCTCTGCTTTTCCTGACTAATATAAAGAATCACTGCTTCTTCATCAATTAGAGGTCATTCCGGCAGTGTAGTTTTCCTCACATAATTAACCACACTTCATTGCTAACATTTTCTGTATAAGGTTTATCAGGCTGTTTAATCATAGAATTAACATCACTTTCTGGTAGCGTCCAATCCAAATCAAAGCACGATTTTTTTTAAACCTCTCCAAATCTCCTAACATTCTCCTACCAAAAGGCCCCACAGTTCTCCACGGTCTGCATTCTCTCTTATTGTGGTAGTACAGTACAATCAACTTATGTGTGTTCCTGGTGATCTGTAGCTAGACTAGGGCACTGATGCTTAGAATAAGAAAAAACTTTACTCTGATATAAACAGCTCTTATTTTATTGCCAGGAATTTGTTTTTCAATTTGCATATACAATAAACTATTTTCATTTCAATGTTTTTTCTTCCTTAACTCTTTTAAGTTTGACTTTCTTCTTTGATTGTTCTTCAAATATTAAGTATATGCTTAGATCTCTAAGTCATTTGAATTAAGCTTTATAAATTCAGATACATTTTAATATTCCCTGTTTATCTCATTATTGTTCTAATTTGTTTCTTGTCTTGACATATCTTTCTTGTATCCCTTAATATTTTCTTCTTTCTTTAAAATCTGCAAGTTGGAAACATTTTGTATCGATGGTTTGTTTTTTAATTCTTTTCTCATGTAACACTTATCTGATATAGTTTTGTTGCTTGTTGTGTATCTCCTCTCCACCAACATGTAAACACTTTTAAACACAGATCTTTGCTTTGTTCACTGCTAAATTTTCAGTAGAAATTGTATTTTCTCAACATTAAAATCACTGTGGTAGATAGTGTTTCCATCACATATTCATTCTTTCCTTGACACATCCTTCATATGAGAATGTCTGCCCCATTCTAAAGGGGATTTAAGCTACTCACAGGCCAGTGATCAAGAAATTTGAATTTTGGATTGTTTGATACACAGCATTATCACACACAAAAAAATAAACTGGAAAATATCTTAGTTCACACTTGAATAATGCTTAATCTGAGTCAGATATTGCTCATAATATAGTACATATTTAACCACATTCATATTTCAGCATGTTCAATCTACCAATGAGATAGACACTATGACCAGCCAAATTTATAAATGAGAGCACTGAGGTACAGAACTTAAGTAATGTACTCAAGTTTACATAGACTATCAACTATAGAGCTAAGATTTGAAGCAAGCCTTCTAACTCCAAAGTTAGGGTAATCACACTTAGCAAATGAAAATTATAGAATGTTAGTTAACTTGAAGTTCATATAAAAGATGAATAAGTTGGTATTTCTTAGAATACGTTGTCCCAAGTACTGTAAAGAAATAAGCATTTTGTCTGCAGTGCTATTCAGAGTCTATAATCACAATGGTGTAGTTTTTCTTTATAAATGTTTTAAAAATGAATTAATGAGTAGCCAAAATAATGAGATGTGACTCATGTTAGGATTACTTACTCTTAAAATTTTTATGGCATATATTTGTGGGTTGTTTCTATGTCAGCAAAACTTATCATGTTGTCAAACTTGTGATGATACTTGTAGATGGCATCCGTTGCTTACATTCCACATAGAGTACTGAAAAAAACTTGTAGTTATTGTCCATTAAATGTTTTCCCATAAGGAAAAGCATTTATTGCTCCTAAGAAGGAGCAATACTAATTACAGCTAGTGCTCGACTTACGACCACGATTGGTTCCGACAGACCGGTCGTAACACGATTTGGTCGTAAGTTGAGTAGGCTATATGCATGCGGAGATGGTAGTGCTGCCGGAAGCTGATCCGCACTGTCGTCCGCCCAGCCGGGCAATGTTTGCGCTGCCAGACGCAGAGGAGTCGTGGCTAGCGATTGTGGTCATAAAGTCGAATGATATAGGTCGTAAGTCTATCAATACTTGTAATCAAGCATGTTTTGCCCTTGCATATTCAAGTCATTTAGCAATTCACAAGTAGGTATAATTTAAAAAGTAGCATAACAACCATTTTAGAGCCAAAAATGTTCAAAAAATAAAATGAGATTATGACAAATTAACATCATTCTTACCTTTTTTTTCTGATGCTGGGTAACTACAAAAGCTTATTGGAAATATTACTTTATGTACCGGCACCTGTGTTTCACTTTGTTGTACTTCACTGATACTGTGTTTTTGTTTGTTGTTTGTTTTTGCTTTTAAATTGAAGATGTGTGGTAACCTTGCCTCAAGAAGCCTGTTGGCACCATTTTCCAACACCATGTGTTCACCTGGTTTCTGTGTGTTTCACATGTTGGTAATTCTTGCAATATTTCAAACTTTTTCATTATTATTATATCTGCTATGATGATCTATTATAAGTGATCTTTTGTTGTTATTGTGATTAGTTTGTGATGCCAAAAACTATGCTCATATAAAGTGACAAACTTAATAAATGTGCATGTTCTGGCTGCTCAACCCGCTGACCATTTCCCAGTCTCTCTTTCTGCCCTCAGGCTTTCCTACTCCCTGAGACACAGCAATACTGAAGTGAGGCCAGTTGATAGCCCCACAATGGCCTCTAAGTGTTTAAGCAAAAAGAAGTGTCACTGGTTTGTCTCTCACTTTAAATTAAAATGTAGAAATTGTTAAGCTTAGTGATAAAGTCAGGTCAAAACTCGAGAAAGGTCAAAATTTAGCCCTCTTGAGCTAAACAGCCCATTGTGAATCCAAAAAAAAAAAAAAAAAAAAAAAGAAATCTTGAAGGAAATTAAAAGTGTTAAATGGATGAAAAGTAAATGAAACAACCTTATTGTTGATATGAAGAAAGTTTTAATGGTCTCTCTAGAAGATCAAACAAGATACAAAATCCTCTTCGGCCAAAGCCTAATCATGAGCAAGCACTAACTCTCTTTAATTCTGTGAAAACTGAGAGATGAGAAAGCTGAAGAAGAAAAGTTGGAAGCTGGCAGAGGTTTGTTCATAAATTTTTTAAAAAGAAGCCATCTCCATAAAATAAACGTACAAGGTGAAGCAGTAAGCATTGCAGCAAGTTACTCAGAATATTTTCTTAGCTTATGAAAGTAAATACGCTAAACTAAAACTTTTCAGTGTAGTTCATGAAACAGGCTTTTATTGAAAGTAGAGGCCAGAAACAGACTGACTCTCTTGATAGGGGCTAATGCAGCTGGTAACTTGATGTTGAAGCCAATACTCATTGCCATTTTAAGGATTTCAAGCTTCTTATGAATTATTCTAAATGTATTCTGCCCATGCTCTATAAACAGTACAATAAAGCCTGGATGACAGCACATCTGTTTACAGCATGGTTTACTTAGTTTAAGCCCACTGTTGAGAACTACTGCTCAGTGAAAAAAGATTCCTTTCAAAATATTACCGCTCATTGAAAGTGCTCCTGGTCACCTTGTAGCTTTGACAGAAATATACAAAGAGAATGTTATTTTCAGGCCTGCTAAGACAACATCTGTTTTGCACTTGATCTTTTCCAGATCAAGGAGTAATATTGATTTCGAAATTGTATTATTTAAGAAATATATTTTATTAGACTATAGCTGCCATAGACAATTATTCCTCTGGTGGGAAAAGTAAATTGAAAACTTCTGGAAAGGATTTACCATTCTAGATTCTATTAAGGTTTTGATGATTAATGGGAGCAGGTAATATCAGCATTAGTAGCAATTTGAAAGAAGTTGATTTCAACACTTATGAAAAGTATTGTGGGGTTCAAGACTTCTACAAAAGAAAACTGCAGATGTGGTGGAAATAGCAGGACACCTGGAGTCATACATGGAGAGTGAATATATAACTGATTTTCTGCTATTTTATGACAAAACTAATGGATAAGAAGTTGCCCCTACTACTGTATGAGCAAAGAAACTGGTTTCTTCAGATGGAATCTGTTTCTACTGAGGATGTTGTTAATATTGCTATAGTAACAACAGAAGATTTAAAATATTACATAAACTTAATTGATCAAACAAGTGACAGGGTATGGGAGGACCAACTACAGTTTTAGAAGATATTCTACTTTGTGTAACATACTGTTAAATACCAACAGATACCCAGAGAAATATTTCATAAAATAGTCAATTAATGCAGCAAACTCCATTATTGTTTTATTTTATAAATTACCACAGCTACTTCAAACTTCAGTAATCCTACCCTGGTGAATTACCAGTCATCAAAATTGAAGAAAAACTCCCGACCAAAAATATATTGCAGTTTACTGAAGGCTCAGATGGTTGTTGATATGGTTTGGCTGTGCTCCCTCACAAATCATATCATATCATATATATATATATATATATATATATATATATATGTATATTTACTTTACGTTCTGGGATACATATGCAGAACATACAGGTTTGTTACATAAGTATACATGTGCCGTGGTGGTTTGCTGCACCCATCAACCCATTATCTAGGTTTTAAGCCCTGCATT